GGATGTCTCTCGGCTGTCCCTCGGCTGTCCCTCGGCCGTCCCTCGGCCGTCAGCTTCTCCACATACCTCCTCTTCACGCTCCTCGCCGCAGGCGTCGCTTTCTCGCTCAAGGGGGATTTCCCGCCGAAGCCGCTCGAGGAGGGGCGGGAGGCTTGTGGCCCGCCCTTTTAGTTACACTCCACTCATGAGTTCGCGGAGTGGCTCTTTGATTAGGAGGGAGGCCTCTCGCTCGCCGACGCGAAGCTGCTCAACGAGGTGCTCTCGTCTTCTGCCCCGAGTGACGAACTCGACGCGGCTGTGGGCCAGGCTGTGCTTCCACGGCGGCATCCGACACATCGCTCTTGCGTCGCTAACTCTCTCTAAAGCTCTAACCGCTAACGTACTCAACTGTCAGTTTGGGGCGCCGCGTGTGGAAAACCAAAACGAAAGAGGGCACCCCCATTTCTGTACATAACCTCGCGTTCTCCACACTTTCTTGCTCCGCGCGCATTTACATTTGCCACAAAACGCACGTGCGCCGTTGGCTGACGCCGCGCGCCCTTCCCAAGGTGTTCTCTCGAGAGCCACTCCCCCCCCCCCCCCCCCTCGGCCACCTCGCCCAGGAACCAGGAACTTGCGGACCGGCGCCGAGCACATGGACATGGCCCGCACCTACCCCCCCCCCCCCCTCCCCTCGGGCCCAACTTCCGGCCCCGCCCCCGGAAGGAATCCGGCGGGGACCGGCGGCCTGCCCCCGCCGCCGCCGACTCAAAATGAGATAGGTCGCGGCTCGGTTCTCGCACAGAGAACATGTGCTCCACGGGTGCTCTCGCTAAGAGTGCTGCCTCTCACGCGCCGGGCAGCGGGGAGGGGAGGGGCAGCCCGAGCCGCTCGGCGGTCTGCCGCGCCTCCTCCAGCGAGATCCACTCCTTCTCCTCCCCGTCACGCAGCCGCACCGCCCGCCGCCCGTCCGCAATCCACCGGACGGCCTCGCCGACACGGGCACCCTGCTTGTAGAAGCCCGACTCCACGTTGCCGCTGGCGAACCGGAAGACGCCGCGCCCCTCCCGCTTACCCGCCTTCCACTCGCCGTCGTAGACGCTGCCGTTGGCGAACCGCTCAACGCCGCGTCCCTCCGGCAGACCCGCCTTCCACTCGCCCTCGTAGACGTCGCCGTCGGCCCACCGGAAGACGCCGCGCCCCTCCTTCTCACCCGCCTTCCACTCGCCCTCGTAGACGCTGCCGTCGGCGTACCGGTCGACGCCGCGCCCCTCCCGCTCTCCCGCTGCGTTGTACTCGCCCTCGTACTCCCCCTCCTGCGCCTCGCCCGAGCCAGCCATCGCGTTGCCCACCTTGGTTGCGTAGTCACGGTACAGCTGGACGACAACCGGCTTGTCGCCCTTGCCCGTGAAGGAGGCCGCCTCGATCGCGGCGATCACGCGCTTGTTACGCGGCCCCATCCCCTCGTCGGCGCGGTCCTCCATCTCCGCCACACGGGGCCCCGCGCCGTCGATCTCGACGACCTTGGGCGGCAGCCGCTCTTCCAGCAGCTTGCCCAGCCCTGGGAAGTAGGCGAGGCGCGCGAGCGCCTCGGTGCTCACCGCGCTCTCAAACGTCGTCCACCTGCCAGCGGAGAGGGGGGGAGGGGGTGGTGGTGTGGTGTGTGTGTGGGTGGTGGGTGGGTGGGGGGGGGGGGGGGGGGGTAACCAAAAAAAAAAACTTTGGTGGGGGTGTGCTGGCGGGGCACCCCTGAAAGCGGGGTTGGGGACTCTCGCACCCCGCATCCGGGGGGGGGGGGCGGTAGGAAAGGGTAAAATAAAACCAAAAGGGTGGGGTGGGGTGGGGGGCCCCGGGGGGGGGGGGGGGTCCCCCCCCCCCACCACAAGATAGGCGGCTTTTTTTAAAAAAAAAAAAAGGAAATCTCCCCCGGGGCCCCCCCCCTGGGAAAGGGGGTTTAAACCCCTTCCCCCCCCCCCCCGGGCTTGGGAAAAAAAAAACCCCCCCCGCCCCCCCCCCTGGGGGGGGGTTTCAAAACCCCCCC